AGCCAAAATAAGACCCTCACCATGCAACTCAACTTTTTCTCTTGTTCCCCCTCTTTTAACTCCCTGATTCACCTCAACTCCCTCTTCCTCCCTCGACTCTACCCTACCACAACCAGCCACCTCCCTCTCCTCTCCCATATCCCCACCTCAGAATCGACGGCTGGAGTAACGGCTAGGGACAAACCACCCTGGCTGTTCATGTGAGCAGACGTCTTCAGGGATGAGGAGACAACCCCACGCACCCTCAGCGCACTAAAAGAACTTCCCAGCTGGCACAGAAAACACTCCAAGCCACAAGCAATTAAGATCGAGAAACAGCCAGGGAGACAACCGTTGCTGATTACCTCAAACTGGCAACAACGCTGACAACAGCAAAGCAACAGCATCAAAAAGGTCAGGAATAGAGTTGTTCACTCATGGAAACATAATATCGCACCATCCAACTCTGATTAAGATCGGGGACACAGCACCCCTGTCAGCCACCTGTAGACGTGGCCACCCCAATACGCGGTCCACACGGCTGCATCATTGGAGCCCGCTTTGCGTGCAGTGGAATCAGTTTCCTCTCACCCAGAGCTCAACGCTATGGCCACAAAGCGCAAGCACAGCGCACATCGCCCACACGGCACCGGACCGACGCCCACACCGCCGCCACCGGACGCAAAACAAGACGCTACACTCCACCTATTGCCACCGCTGCCGCCGCCGTTCTGTGCCCCAGGCACGCCCCCCCACCCACCGCGCCTGCACGCAAGAGCAGACCGCCGGCCCGCGCCACCGCACAACAGCCTGGCACCATTGGGTGCGCAGCTCTACGGCTACGAAGGTCGTCCCTGTCCCGGATTAATCAATTATACAATATTAATATTTCACAGAGTGCAACACTCCTAACTTTACCTGATATGCGTGTCTTTGCTTTTTCAGCGTTTGCCAGTTGAGGTAACTCACAACGTTTCATCCTGCGTTGCTCGATCTAATCTGCTCTGTGAGCTGAGACGATTTCTGATAAAGAATTGCTCTAGTCGCTGAGGGTCTGGGGTGCCATCTCACCTCCTGGAAAGAACCGTCGCTCCACATGAACAGCCAGGGGATGTTTGTCTAGCCACGTCACCTCCAGCGATCAGATCTAAAGTGACGATAAAGAGAAAAGAAGAGAGGAGATGGGGTAGGTATAGAAGTCAGCGAGAAATAAAGTTGAAGATAGGAAAATAAAAAGGGGGGACAAGGAAGAAAAATGTAAGTTGCAATGGTAGGGTTTCTAGTCATTGCGACATACAAAAAAAGCAGAAGCTTCTGCATTCGAGCCAGTCGCCTGAAACAGGGCAAACTGACCAGTTGAAAGCACTCGCGTCATCCCCATCAACAAAAGAACGCAAGATAAGGATATCGATTCATCTCAGGGCTTTACAAAAAAAAGAAGTGAAAAGATAACTTTTTATATTTTCAAAAAACAAATGACACAACAAAACCAATACCTCAGGTTGAATATAGAGCTATCCACACATCTCTGTTTCTTTGGACTTAAACAGACAAGATCAAATGAAAAGACATACAGACCCAATCTCTGTTTCTTCTTAGCAGATACAATGAGGAGACAAGACTGAAGGAGAATTAGAATTAAAGAATATTCGTGTGCTTTATCAGATACTAACGAGAACCACAAAGCGATGGTCGACAAATCAAGACACTATCCTTAAATGGATTTACTTTATTTGCCTAAAACTAATACAATCTAACTGAGAAAGAAGAACTAGCACCTAACATTACGATTGACTCTTACCTCAACACCTCCAAAGGACCAGGACGACAAACAGAAATTGGGACGCACTGCGAAACTGATCATCTTCGCGGGGCAGAGCAAAATAATATCCATACCAAACATACAAGCCTGAGCACGACACACAAACACGACGCGCGGGTCCAAAACACCCGCGAGAAACAAAGCAAAGGAATCAGAGAAACGAGGCAACATCCAACAACATTCACGCATTCCGCTACGCACCACACTCCAATAACAGTAAATAAAACGAACGGCAACGAGAGGCTTCACTGCGATGCCAACAGAATAGACTAATACGACAGACACACAGATCAACAAACACAAACACAAGCATCGAGGAGAAAGAGAAGCTTCTTTTCCCAGTTAATTTCAAATATGGCAAATAAAACCAAACCAGCAAACAATCTACAAGCGGCTCTTCACAAAACGACTCAACGTGGCAAAAACAAAAACAAAAAGCGGCTCACCTTTCTTTCGCCAAACGGAGAAACTGTTCCCAGTGCATTTCCCAAGGATTGGTTGCTGCTAACTGCATCGCTCTGACCACCTGCTTTGTCCAGCAACAATCAGACCCGCCTATAAAATCCCGCCCGTTCTTGGAAAGCTTTCGTCGGCATACTGTCCCATCAAACTCGCCGGCTTGTTGTAAAGTGAAGCGCACCTGAACCTCTGTCAACCGCATGCGGGAAGCCCCGCCCCATCCCTCCGCTCACATCCCCTCACCATCCCTCACAGCTGAAGGGGTGACAATCATCCTCATTGAGCTCGTCAATCATCCTCACTTGAAGCAGAATAACTCCCCCAGTCCAGGGACTTCCAATGACTTATCCGGTTCAATGGAGCAAAAATAAACTTTTCCCATGCGCGCCACGACACAAGATGAACACTATACACATAAATGCATAGAATATAAGTCAAATAAAACAATACTTAATTGTATTTATTTTTTATTTTTTAAGGAACTGAATTCTCAACCACATCCTCGGTGGACAAAATATAGTTTGAGATGCAGACAACCAAGGCATCATGCATCAAGCAAAATAATAATACACAAAAAAAACATACAGCTATTACATACAAGCAAACGAGACGTCCCACCTATAACAGGTTAGATATTTGTTAATTGACGTATGTACGGGTTTGGTACAGGAATGCACAAAGGAGGAATATCAATAATCTGAATCTCAATCCATGTCACTTTACAACAAACAAAGAAGAACAACATGGACAATGAGCACACACAACCCACAAAAAAGACAATAACAGAAAGTACGCATGTTATTGCAACAGAGAGTTAAATGTGAAATGAAATCTGTAACGAGTAACAAGAGGCCGCAGCAGACTGCGATCTGACCTTAATCTGAGACTATATAACTCCTAGTCTCTCGTCTATGATTGCCAGCAATAGAGAGAGTACTCAGGAACAAAAACAGATCCCTTCCTCCACACACATTTAACTTAGCCAAGGGCACATTCTCTTATACTGGTAAACACTACAGATGGCAAGTCTATAAATTTCTAGGGTAATGCTTAAAATAACGGTTTCGCCATTGTGTTTACTATACAAATGGGTTAAATACAAGCAAGGCCACATACATGAGTCATTACCTCCTGTGACAACGTTGTCCACAGTAAGCTCACCATCTACTTAAATCCCTTGATGGGCACCAGGAAGATAAGTCAGAGAACAGAAAACCGCTTGCTGGAATGGCAAGTAGAGACACTAAGATGACGCTTTCGGAGAAGACTGGCTGTTCTCGGCATAAACAAAACATATAAGAGCCCATGAGGCAACATGATGAATCCCATAATCCAGCTATATGACACTCCATGGAGTAAAGTGACAATGTCTCAGTTCGCTCTTGTCTTAACAGTTACTCCCCAGTTATCTGAATAACAAATGATGGACACGACTAAAAACAGATAAAAGCAGGGGAAGTTAGCTGACCCCGAACATTGATGCCCTGCATAAGACGTAGATAATGAGTTTTTAGATACTGT